TATATTGTAACACTATGACTGCATTAGGTTACAGCTCATTACATGTTCCCGATTTGGAAAGACATAAAGGCAAGTTATGTCGGAGCTCACCTTGCCTTCAAATCAAGAAGACTTAAAATAATTGATAGTGTTCTCCCCAACAATTGGTGATAAATAACGTAGGACATGTTTCTCACCTTTAGACACGTTAATTTAATAAACTTATTACTCAACATGACAAGAACAAACCAGCATAACTAATCAATACAGAAAAATGAAAAATAAAGCTCGGCGGGCTCGGTTTGCTTTACTCTTTGAAGCCTTACAAACCTGGCTAAAGCTCATCCACTTTTCTAAACGAAGTGTATTACCTCTCCCTCATGCATTTATAAATTAAGTGCATGTCTTCAGCGAGCGTTTGTTATACGGTTTAAGGTGCTCATTCAATAAAGGCGTGATTACATCATAGTATGTCGGAAGGGTACTAGTATGTTTATAGAGTAGATAGCTACTTGAGAGCGTTTAAGAAGTGAAGAATCACTCGGGAGTAGCATGGATTGCTACCTTTCAAGGAAATTATTAATGAGACTTCCGCATGGAGCCTCAATTAAGTTGAAACAAGTTGTTTTCGTCTTACGTGATAGCCGTGATTTAAAGAACAATTATTTCAGGCAGGCTGAATTAAAACAATGTTGGGTTGCAACACGTGGAGCTGGAGCAGTTCGACTGTGCGACTGGGAAGTGTGTTTTGTTTAAATGATTTATATAAGTCGAACGTATACTTATTTCCAAAAAAAAATAAAAGTAATAATTACCAAATTTCTATGTTTCAAAAAATTAATACACGTATGCTTATTGGAAAATACGTCTCGGGGTGCTGCACTGTTTGTATTTCGTATATGCTTTTATATTTTCGAATAGGTTGCGTAGGATCTTTAAAGAAAATGTATATACGAACAAATTTATTTTATCGATTATGTCAGAAGCAGCTCTTATAATTTTTCCGAGATTCTAGAAACACATTAACGTTACGTTTGGTGTTAAATTCACGTAGGTAGATATAATTACATCCACCAAGAAAAATTACGACGCTATTTCGAAAAGTTCTTTATTAAGTCGTATTCCAAATGTCGTTTCACAGGTGACTTAACATTAATTTTTTTTTAATTTAATTTTATTTATTTTTTTTTTATTAAGATTTTTGATGTTTTTGATTTGGTAATTTTTTACAGCTGAATCATTTAGTTCCGCGAATACGATGCGTGAAGACCATTTAAAAACTGAAGTAAATCCACAGTTCACGTTTGATCAGTCAAACACTAATTTAATTGAATCGGTCTGACAAAGAAACGTCTCTATATTTCAAGGAATTTTCCTTTTTATTATTAAATAATTCACGAATAAACGAACATCTTTAACACATAGAAGAGATAATTCCGACACTTGACTTGGAAAAACAAATACTATATAGGGTGTCTCAGAGATAGAGATATTGAAATTCTGTAAACGCCATTGTTTTTAACTTGATTATAAAATAAACTGCAAGTGCTTCATTTCATTTCATTCAACTTATTTTTTTTTGTGTTTATAAATTGTATTTTTTTATCATTTGAAAATGAAATAAATATCTAGGTTTCTTATATCGTTGTAATCGTAATCTCGCGGTCTATCAAAATCCGTTAAAAAACATATGTTGGGATTTAAAAAAATATAGGCTTGCGTCACGCTTCCGCCTCAAGCTAAAAACGTTGAGGTTTACAGAATTTCAATATCCCCATCCTTCCTCAAGACATTAGACCGCGGAGTTTGAGCTCACAGATCCTCTACAGAGTGACCAAAAAATGACGGATAAGTTCGATGGTACGTTGCTAAGAGGGCTCTGAAGAACTCGAAAAAAAAAAATGGTTAAAAAAATCCCAACTTAAAACTCTTGAAAATATTAAACTTCAAGTTTAAGGAATTAACTTCGTAATTCCGAATTCCACAACATCATTTTTTACAAATTTTGTCAATTTTTCAGATTTTTTTTCAAAAATTTGGTTCAGAGATTTTTTTTAACGATTTTTTTTTCGAGTTCTTCAGAGCTTTCATAACAATGTACCATGGAACCTATCCGTCATTTTGTAACAATAATAAATTTATATACATACATTATTGTTTAAAAAAAATCTCTAAACAAAGGGTTCTCTTTCAGATCTGTTAGAAATTATCACAGCACTATTCTTGGACATTTTTATGATAAGGGAAATATTTTCTTTATCTCAACAGTTAACTGATTAGCCTGAACTGACAGTTAACACAAATGTTCAACATTTATCTCAAGCTTCCTACTAATGTAAAAAAAATGTGGACGTTAAAAAACTAAACAATTATGTATCTCGTTCCCACGAAATTTACGGTCAATAATTTAAATGTTCACATTGTTCCGTTTAGGTATCAGTCGTTAACATTCATGTAATGCAAAATAATACACTCGTGGACAAAAATATGGAATATGGACAAAAATTTGTAATTTTAATATTTTTTCCATTTTGCCGATTTAAGTTATTTAAACATTTTGCACTAGAAAAAAACACTTTCTTTTAAAGTTTTTACATAAATAATTTTTAAACTTTTATGAGAATTAAATTATGAAAAAAATGTTTACATGTTTACTAAGTAAAAAGAAGAAGAAAAACTTTTAACTTAATGTTTTTTAAAAATCTTGGTCGGGGACCATCAGCACTTTATATTTTTCGAATCAGCTCGTCGAGATCTATACCCTCTAATTTTTTAAGAATTTTTGGGTAATTCTCAAAAATATTTTTGTTTCTTTTCATAATAAGTATAAAATAAGTTTTCATGATTCCATTCTCATTCAAATTCTAAAATTATTTACCAAAAATGTTTAGAATAAAGTGTTAAGTAACTTAAATCGTCATATTGAAAAAAAAATATATATGAAAATTTAAAAATTTTGCCGATTTTTGTCCATGAGTGTATGAAATAATTCTTGCTACTAACAATTGCGATAGAAATATAACCTTTACAATATCTCTATAGTATGTGAAACACATTCGAAAAAAATTGTAAAGTTATTTTGACAGAACTTCCCTCGCCCCCTACAACTTTTTCGAAAATTAATAAAATTTGATTTTGCAAATTTTATTTACTTGTACAATAACCCCTGTAACTTAATATAAAGATTTGCATCTAGTTAAATAAAGGTAAAGAAACATACATTCGCATGTTTCAAGTGAATTTTTCCATTAGAAAATTTTGTGATAACGTCACCAACATTGTACCAAGGACATGTGTATCGATTTGACAGGTGGAGTGTTATACTAAAAGTAACAATAGTATATTCCTAAATTTTTTGGAAAGCGGGGTGAGTCATTCTTGTTTTAACCAATTTATTATTTTTTTTTAATCATTCTAAATAATAGAAGCAATTCTAAATAAAATGTCACTCAAAATAGCTCAATATATGGAAATATCAAAGAAAGCGGTGGATTTTTAACGGCTCCTCTGCTATAGAGGACTCGATTTTGCATTGATACAAACGCATTATTCTAAGAAACCATAAATTCAGAACAGAAAGCAGAAACGGTCGATCACAATTTACGATTGTTTCTGTTTGATTGATTACTTGCCTTTTCTAATGGAAGAAAATGTTTCTTAAGATTTCATAATTAAAGAAAAACGAAATTTTATCTAATTTTATTTAAAACCCCCGAAGTACTATCCAAAACAAATTCTTCGAAAAATTAAAAATTAAGTATTCCTTATAATTTAATGTAGTGATATGTATAGACTACTAAAATACAGGTGAACTAATCACACATTTTTTGGTTTGGTTGAGAATTTTTCAAATTTTGTTTCATTTTATTTTAGTAGGTACCTATAATATAATTGTACAAACCGAAAAGTACCACTTTATTGTACTGCCTTATAACGAAAAATTCTCTAATCTAGAAAGCACATACTTAATCACTTTCATCACAATCAGTAATTTATAAACTCACATTTGCTACTTTACACCATTTATTACTTATTTAGATTGACAATGAAGTAAAGAAACGTTCTTGTAGACTCACCAAAAAAATTGAAAGAACATAACAGAAAGACGTCTTTTTTACCACTCAAATCTTAACTTTATTGTTACTATGAAACAAAGCAGTCAAAGCCAATAGTACAAATGCTTTAATAACACAGCTAATCAATGTTAACAGAGTAAAACAATTTGAGAAATTCCAAAATTTCAGACGTTTACAAAAGCATTATATTTATAAATAATACAATCATTGTTGTTAGCTTTAGATCTAAAGTTTGGAGTCACTCTTTATTCTTTGTATTGTTCTACCATTGTTTATGTTTCACTTATTTTATCCTTTTGACAAAAATCATATTTCCTTGACGTTTTCGAAGTTCCCCGTTTTTGTCGGTTATCGTCTGTCGACTATTGACGGTTTACGAAGTAGTTATTATCTTCGAAACTACTGCACCGATCATGTTAGAATTTTAAACATGCTTGGCTTATATTATTACTTGTTAGTATTATATTTGTATTTTATTTTAATTTGTTACATCATAGTTTAGTAAGATTTTTGTGTTACTTTAAATATTCTTTTAAAAGATCTTCCATTTGTCTATATGGATAAAATTTATTCTTAATTGACACCGTTTTGAATTATATTAGTCTAATCCGTTTCTTTATCCGTAGTAGGCCCGAGTCAGAAACTTTTTACTGTTAGCGTAACTAATGGGAAGATGTTTTGATCACACTCATGTTCTAAAGTTCTAACAAAAACGTCTACAAAACAAAAATGTAAAAAAGTCTTAAGAACAATAGAAAAAACAAGATATATTTTTATAAACATAGAAACGAAACGAATTTTCGGAAAAGTTGATTAAATATTTTCGTGCCTTGAATCGCCCTCAAAATTTAAACACTCCACCCTCCCTTTCTTTGCCATCCACTTCGAAACCTCTCTGCCTAACTCAATTCGATTGAACTAATTACAGGGAACAATCCCACTCACCTTGTAAATTCCATCAACGAGTTTGATGAGTTCTTCAGTCTCCATGTCGAAGCAGTTTTACGACAACGTTTAAAGAGCGAATTCAGTTGCGTACAGGGTTCATGTCACTCTGAAAACACGCGATTCTCCCGAAGTCGTCCAAATTTGAAATCACTGCTGTTTACGGCGATTTGTTGGAAGGTCTATTCGATATACACACAGTGTGTTTAATTGCATGGAGAAAATTGTGGAAATTCCGGGCTCAAACTGTCTCTCTAACGAAGATTGAGGTCCGGGCTCGATCCGGTACAAATCTGTAACCAAATAAATTAATTTAGCGTTAAACATTATCGAGTCCTACTCGGAACGACAGGTTTTATGCGATTTCCAGTTTGTTGGCTTGATTTTAGTGCACCCGGAGCAAATAACGTGAAAATCGCATTTAACTTTCATAGCGCGGAATAATGCAACGGTCAAGAAGTTAAACCACTTTCGATCGACGACTCTCACTAAAGATTCACACAGGAAAGATTTTTTCGGGCATATTTCTTCGATCGCGGCTTTCCATAACCTCCAATTAGCGCGGTAATGGACGGCTTTGAAAGCTGGGTAAGCGTAAACTCACTATTAAGTTATTCGGTCCTTTAGTACCGCGAATTGTGAAACTTTCTATGGACCAAAGACAATTTTTGGGTCAAGAGGCATTTTCGGTAACGTAATTGGTCGAAAAAAAAGCTGATAATAAGAATTTTGCAAGGCGTGGAGTAATTACGGTTGCGAAACCAGTTACCGAAAAAGTCATTACAAAGCCACACGTTTTTTCACAAAAACACAAAAAGTAATTCTTGCAGGTGATGTGGAGGAAATCGCACGGAACACTTCGACGACTTTGAGTTGGCAAATATTTTTACTATCGCTCATTTAAGTTTAATTCCCCTTTTTGGTGGAAAAACACGTAATGAAATGTGGAATTATATTTACGATTAAAAGTTATTTCTCTGAAGTGCACTAAAAAAACGGCCAAGTTAGAATGTAAAAAAATTACTCGTTAACTCGTAACTAATGCGACTTTTTTAGCAAATTCTCTGAGCGCTGTTTATTTATTAATGCAATCTAACAGACTGATCAAAGTTTTACATGTTTATATAATAAACTAAGTTACTTAATTTTAAATTCGTGGAACAAAAATTCCAGTAAAGAGAAATTAGAGGATTAAATGGAGCCCCAAAATAAAAAAATTTGAAACCAGACGTTGTCAAGATATGGGGTCAGAAACCAAAAGCAATAATTATTCAAACTATCATAATCTTGACGAAATTTTAAAGCTGCATTTCCACTGTGCGTTGTTCGGCCGGTTGTCTCGTGAGAGATTTCTATTTCAAGAAACGTTAGCTTAAGAATTAAATTGGTCCTTAGTGGTTTTCTTATTTTTCAGAAACTTCACTAACAACATTAGATATTTCTGATAATTTGTTATTATTACTCTTTGAAGAATTTGAGTTCAACAAAAATTTTAATTATACATATTCCCACAGGCAAAAATATTAACTCAGAATAGTTTGGATGTACATGTTTTAAAATGTTTTTTTACAAAGATTTGGCCAAAATTTTGTTTATTTTTTCAGTACAATTACATGTGACATGTGCCATGGTACTCACCTCGCTAAATTTAAATATTTTAATCAAATTTACATCATAAAGAAACAACAATACTTTACAGGTACATATTTGACATCATTTGTAAAATCTATAAACAAAAAAGGACCTAAACTGAACCCCCTGACGTTTGAATTGCATTCATTTTACCATGATGCCGGTTAGTTTGTCCCTCTTTCTTTATAAAATTTAATCAAATAAAGTTTTTAACATTTGTTTAATTTTGTTGTATTTTACATGGCAACAAATGATATTACTAAAAAAAGAAATTTCGTTGCTGAAGATTACGATTTTTTTTCTCGCTTGGGATCGATCATTAAATTAAGACGCTCAATCTCATTAAATTTTGTTTATGTTTGTATAAAAATAGCTTTTCTAAATTATGTTCAATTTATTAAACGTAAAAGCTTCAATAATTCTTAATTTTTTGTTCTCAAAAATTACCATTTTTTTTTTCAAAATAGATTTTGTCGAATAAAACATGGTATCATTTGAACTGTCAGGTGTTTTTAAAGAATGTAAAAAAACTCTTGACAGCCCCATGTGTTTTCTTTTTGAAAAAAATTCGAAGATCTTTGGGGCTTCTACTGTTTCGGATTGAAGGGGTTTGAAAGAGTCTTAACGACCTCTGTTATATTTTTTTACGAATGCTTCAAAAATGTGAAAGAATCTGTGAAGGCCTTCTGTGTTTTATTTTGAATAAATTTGATACCCCCTGGTATTTTATTTTAGAAAATATTTGACAGAATCATAGGGACCCTTGGACTTTTTTTATATGGATTTATAAAAATTGTCAAACCCAAAAGTGTTTTACTTTAGAGTATAAGAATCCGCAAAAATCCTGGAGGCTCTTGGTGTTTTATTTTTAAAAGATGGTTATGGGCTCCTAGTATATTTTTAAGAATGTGGAAGAACTTTTGGCGATCCTGGTATCTTTTTTTAAAGAATGTGAATGAATCTGAAAAGGACATTTTCGAAGCAGCTAAAAAAAAACTTTGATTCCTGGTACTTTTTTAGAGAGTTTGAAAGAATCATGGATGATCTTACTATCTTTTACACATGTGAAATAATCGTGAGTCCACCTTGTGCTTTATTTTGAAAGAATTTAAAAAATCTTGGAGAGCTCATGTGTAGTTATTTTCAACAATTTGAAAAGATCTTGGGGGCTATTGGTGTTTCATTGTTATAGTAGTCTTAGGAGCTCCTATTTTTTTTATTTTGAGACCAAGTTTTTTTTTTTTTAATTTGAAAACAAAATCTTGGATTGTTCTTGTGTTTTATTTTTCAAACAATCTGGAAAAATCCTGGAGACCTCTGTTATTCTGTTTTCGAAAAAGTTTTAAAGAATCATGGGGACTCTTGCTTTTTTTTATATTGATTCATAGAAATTGTCATAACAAGCCCAAAGGTGTTATATTTTAGAAGAATTTTAAAAAATCTTGGAGGCTCTTGGTGTTTTATTTTTAGAAAAGTCTTAGGAGCTTCTAGTGTCCATTTTTAAGAATGTGAAAAAATCTTTGGATCTCCATGTGTTTTTTTTTAAGAATGTGAAAGAATCTTGGATTCTTGGAGGGACCTTTGCGAACTAACTTGAACACTTCTTGGGTATTCCCAGTATTTTTTTTTTTGAAAGAATTTGCAAGAATCAGGCGGGCTCTTACTAACTTTTATACACTGACTTATAGAAATTATCATCTCAAACCCAAAAAGGGTTTGAATTGAAAGTTTATTAGAGAAGTCTTTTTTTTTTAATTTCTTGTAAAGAAATAGTATTTTGCAGTTAAGCTCCACCCTCTTGGTTCACAGTGAATAAAAAAATCATCACAATTAGACAGGGCGGGTGGGTGGGCTTACAATTTGCCTTTTTGTTTTAATATGTGTAGACATGGAAAATTTGTATCAGAAAATATCTATTTTTCAATTAGGCCTCGGCCCATATTTGCAAAGCCCATATTTCCTTGCAAAAATGTACCATTTTAACCATGTTTTAAGTTTCACGTTATGAAAAGATGGCTATGTAAATTAAGAAAAAAAAAGACAAAATATAAGCCCGCCCACCCGCCCTATCTCAATTCTGATGATTTTTTTATTCGTCGTAAGCCGAGGGGCGGAGCTTAATTGCAAAATCCTTCTTTCTCTACAAAGGAATAAAAATCATGGTTTTGAGTACCGTGTTATTCAAAGAATACTGTGTATATTAAGAAAAAAACAACCCAAAAGTTAAGCCCCACCCATATCCATCCCAAGCTTAATTATGATGAATTTTTCATTCGTTGTCAGACCGAAGGGCGGACCCTAATTGCAAAATAGATATTTTCCTACAAAAATTTGCCATTTTAAACATGTTTTAAGTTTCTCGTTGTGAAAAAATGACATATTAAAAAAAATTGGCAAAATGTAGCCCCGCTCACCCACCCTATCTCAATTAAGATGATTTTTTTATTCGTCGTGAGCCAAGAGGGCGGAGCTTAACTGCAAAATCCTTGTTTATCTACGAGAAATTAAAAACAGTATCGTGTTGTTCAGAGGATAATATGTATATTAAGAAAAAATTAAAGCCAAAGATGAAGCCCCACATATTTCCCTACAAAAATATACCATTTTAAATGTGTTTTAAGTTTTTAAGAATAAAAAAAATTATCACAATTGAGATGGAGTGGGTGGGCGGTGTGTATATTTTGCCTTTTTTTCATAATATACATAGTATACTTTCAACACGATAGTCCAAAACATGCTTCTAATTTCTTGTAAAGAAACAAGTATTTTGCAGCTAAACTCCGCCCTCTTGGTTCACAGCGAATAAAAAAATCATCACAATTGAGACAGGGCGGGTGGGCGGGCTTAGATTTTTTTTTTTTCATTTTACAACAAGAAACTTAAAGCATGTTTAAAATGGTACATTTTTGCAAGGAAATATGGATTTTGAAATTATGAGGCGGAGCCTAATTGAAAATTCAATGTTTCCTTATACCAATTTTCCATTTTACACATGTTTTAAGTTTCATGTTGTAAAAAGAAGTCTACATATATTAAAAAAAAATATATTTTAATTAATTTAATTTAAGAATGTGAAATAATCGCAAGTTCCACTTGTGTTTTATTTTGAAAGAATTTAAAAGAATCCCGGGGATCCCTGTTATTTTGTTTTCGAAAAAGTTTTAAAGAATCATGAAGACACTTGACCTTTTTTCTATTGATTTATAGAAATTATTATACCAAGCCCAAAAAAAAATTTAAATGAAAGATTTTTATGCTTTTCTAATGTTTTTTTTTTAAGAATGTGAAAGAATCATAAGCCCCGTATTTGGAAAGAATATGAAAAAATACTCGAGAACCTAAGTGTATCCTTCTTAAACAATTTGAAAAGATCTTGGAAGCTCTTGGTGTTCCGTTTTTAAAAGAATCTTAAAGAGTCCTAGAGTTTTTTTAAGGATGTGAAAAAACCTTGGCGGAGCCTTGTGTTTTATTTTCAAAACTATTTGAAAAAATCCTGCTGACTCCTAGTGTTTTATTTTTGAAAGAATTTAAAAGAATCGTTTTAGTCACTTTTTTCCAAGAATTTGAAAAAATTCTGAAGAGTTCCTGTCTATTTTTTTAGAACAATTTGAAAATATCTTGAACATCCTTGCTGTCTTGTTTTTAAGGAATCTTAGTGTTT